ATCTTAGCTGTAGAGGGCAGTGTCACTGGCCCTCATATGTGGGATCTGAACCGGGGCCCTCTGGCGTCCCAAGCCAGCTCTTAACCATCGCGCCACTTGGCCGGCCCTGTTCATGTTTTTTTAACAATGTCTTTAGATGAGCAGACATTTAAATTTTGATGAACTCTAATTTGGCATTTTTTTCTTTTATAGTTATTGCATTCAGTGACCTCTAAGAAACCTTTGTGTACTCCCATGTCATAAAGATATTCGCCTATGTTTTCTTCTGGAAGTTTTATAGATTTAGTTTTTACATTTCTGTGATTTATCTTGAATTAATAATAAGTATGTGTTGTATGAGATGGGGGTTGAGATTTATTTTTTCCTTATAGGTATCCAGTTATTTTAGCTCCATTTGTTGCAAAGATCCCCCCCCCCCATTAGATTGCTTTGACACTTTTGTTGAAGATTAAATACCATATAAGTGTGTATGTATTTATGGGCTCTCTATTCTGTTTCATTGATCTGTTTGTCCCTATGCTAATATCATAACACTGTCTTGATTAGTGTAGCTTTGTGGTAAGTTTTGAAGTCAAGTAGTGTAAGTCCTCAACTTTGTTCTTTTTGAATTTTTCAAGATTGCTTTGGATATTTTAGGTTCTTTGCATTTCCATATAAATTTTAGAATCAGTTTGTCAGGTTCCTACAGAAAAGCTTGGTGTAATCATTATTGTAATTGTATTGAATCTGTAGATCATTTTGGGGGAGAATTGACATCTTAGCAATATTGAATCTCCTGATGCATGAACATGGTATATCTCTCCATTATGTTAGGGCTTTAATTTTTCTCAGCAGTGTTTTGTAGTTTTTAGTGTGGAGGTCTTATGTGTCTGTGTATTCCTAGTATTTTGGAATTGTTTGGTGGTATTATAAGTATTTTTTTGTTGTTGTTAAAGTTTTTTTTTTTTTTTATTGGAACAGCGCTGGGGAATTGGGGGAAGGGGAACAGACAAGTTGCTGTCGTTTTGTTCTTTAGTCTAGTTGTGGAGGATGTTGCTTCACTGGCCC